TGTCCTTAACCTTGTGGGAGGATGCAGAGGGGTGCAATGGTGACTCCCTTTCTCAGGCCCCTTTGCAGACTACCTCAAACCCACAGGTGCCTTGGGGACACTTCCTGGGGCTGTGACACCTCCAGGAGTATATATGTCCCTGTTTTCTTTTTTCATATATGTGTGTGTGTGTGTGTGTGTACTTATATACATACATACATACATACATAATTTTTTCTTACCCCCTCTATCTTCTCAACCTAGCTGGTGTCCATGGACAGTCGTTTTTAATATCTGTACATCTTAGACCCCTTTCAGAATCTAAGGAAATCCCTGATTTAAAAAAAAAAAAAAAAAAAAGTCATAGCAGACGGAATTTATGTATGCAGAGAGTGCTTTGAGGACTTTACCGGGGTTCACATCTGAAGCTGTTGTGTTACCCAGACAGGATTACTGACCTGCCAGTTTAGTGTGACCTGGGCAGCTTAACTTCTCTGTGTATTGTCTTTACTATGATAATATTCACCTTTTAAAAAAAATGGTGAATATTCAATTTATGCTAGCTGCTCCTGTCACATCTCCTCTGTGGTAACTGGTAGTGGTCTTTGGGGATGGTCCCTTCCCTCTACCTGAGAAATGCAACTCCAGACAACTAATTAGAAGAGGAGGTTGATATTGACCCGATTTAGAGAAAGATGACTAGTGAGTGACGAGGCCAGGGAGGGTGGCTTGCAAGCTCACACCATTTACATCTCCTGTCTACTGTCCTGTGAGGGGAGTAGTGTCATCCTAGCAAACAGAAACACGGAGACTGAAAGCCTAAGTGACCTGTCCCACTTTGCACAGCTACTCAGTAGAATGAGTGAGATGGAGTCTGATTCCGGAGCTGGTTTCACTACCGTGTGTCCTGGAGACTAACTGAGCACGAAGACCGAAGGACCTGGGGTGGGTCCCACTCTTTGGGAGTCTGAGGGCCAAGCAGCTTTGGAAGCACACTTAGCTTCTCACTCCGAACATCCAGAAGCTCATGCTGGATCGTTGCTGACCTTGTCACTGCCGTGACCTGCCCCTGCCACACAGGCCAGGCAAGTCAATCAGGATCCTGGGACAGCCTGTCTCAGCCTTTCTTCAGGGTCAAAACAACAGCCCTTTGCCCAGACCAACTCTGAGAAGCTGCCAGGCTTATCAGATTTCTCAGTATCTCTCCCTTCCTACCTTCCTTCCTCTGTAATGTTGATTATAATGTCTTGTCTATACTCTGGGAGAAAAAATAAAAGTGTAGTTAGGAGGGGAGGGAGAAAGTGAATTTCCAGGAATTGTTTCAAGGTGGCTACTCTTGCTGCTTAAGGCAAAGCTGTATGCTTCAGGCTGGCAAGGAGCCTACACACACACACACACACACACACACACACACACACACACACACACACGGCAAGGAGCTTAGGCATACACACATGCACACACTCATGCACTCATATATGTGTACACACACACACACACAGGATAAGAAAAAACATAAATCTCACCCGTTTCTTCCCAACGGAGCAGCTGTCCCTCTGAGGGTCTGCTGGAAAGGGTCCCTGGGACTCCCTCTTGCTTCAAATGCAGAGAGGAAGAGGAAGGAGGAGGCCAGCACACAGCACCCGAGGCAGGGCTACTTAGGTGGTCTCCTCCATGGAGATGTGTGTGACACTATCATGGCAATGATTTAGATGATAAATGTTATATGGGTTCACCACAATGAAAGACTAACTAGCAAAATTCACCCTTCCTCGGGTGAATAAATACAATGTAGGTGGTAGGTACACACAATGGAAACACTACACCACCACGAAAGGAAAGTAAGTGTCAACACATCTTGAAAAGTGAACTGAGCCCTGGGAACAAAGTCGCACAAGCAGAGAGCAGATTGGCGCTGGGTTACTGCCTCTGCCACAGTTAAGACCATAGCCTCCCACTGGCCTCCGCATCTAAGGACAAAAGAAATGCATTCCACATGTTAAGGAAAGTGTCCCAAGAACAGTGTGGATTGCCCAAGCAGCATGTCCTCATCAAGGACACTGGGAAACACAGCAAGGGTTCCAAGCAGAAGCAGCTGTTCATTGCTGCCTGAGGGCACCCCACCCCTGCTACCCCCAATCAGTTCTGTACTGTAGCAAGAAGACCAGGACTGACAATGTTCCTGCCGAGGGCACCGTGCCCGGAGTATGCCTCTTGTGCAACTTGGTGAGTGGTGGTATCTAGACCGAGTCTCCAGACATGACTAATGCCACCATTGACCTGCAACCCTCAGCCACAACGATGGGTGACAAGCTGACAAACCCATCCCGAAAACCAGCCACACTAAAAAGACAAAAGGGAACCTGTGGTCACACTTGCAGTGGGTGCCCATAAACCCTGTGGAGCAACCCTCCGTGTGTGGCGGCGGTCACCAGAGTGTGTGCAAACCACCCACAGAGAGGCTCCTGCCAGCCAAGGTAAAGCTCACCACTGCCCACTGGACCTGGCATCTCCCTGGTACTGTGACTATGCAGGCGGGGGAAAAGCCAGAGCAGAGAGGTTCCATAAAGTTTGCCCTGCCACTCAAAACAATAACAAAGAGAGGCCAAGTCAAGATCTTGGGACAGTGACTTAGAAAAAGGTGTGCATGTGTGTTAGTTAGGGTCACGACTGCTGGGATAAAGCAACATGGCCAAAGCAACTTGTCGAGGAAAGGAGTTATTTGGCTTCCACGTGGAAGTCAGGACAGGAAATGGAGGCAGAGGCCATGGAGGGTGCTGCTTACTGGCTTACACATCACGGCTCGCTCAGTCTGCTTTCTTATAGAACCCAGGACCACCAGCCCAGGGATGGCTCCACCCACAACGGCTGGGCCCTCTCTCATCAATCACTAATTAAGACAATGACCTACATCCAGATTTTATGAAAGCATTTCTCAGTTGAGTTTCCCTCCTCAGAAAACTTCTGCTTGTATTATGCTGACATGAAACTATCCAGCATGGAATGCACTGTATGTCATTGAATTGTACAGTTGAAAATGGTTAATTTGGAGGCTGGAGAGGTGGCTTAGCACCAGAGAGCATCCACTGCTCTTTCAGAGGACCTGAGTTTTGTTCCCAACACCCACATGGAGAGAGTGACTCACAGCCTGTGACTCTGGGATCCAACACCTTCTTTTGGCCTCTGTTAGGCACCAGCACACACATAGTATAGACTCAAACACATATGTATACATAAATAAAAGCAAATCTGTAGCCAGACGGTAGTGGCACACATCTTTAATCCCATTACTAGGGAGCCAGATCCAGGTGAATCTCTGAGTTCAAGGCCAGCCTGGTCTACAGAGTGAGTTCCAGGACAGCCAGAGCTACACAGAGAAACCCGGTCTTGAAAAACAAAACAAAAATCTTTAAAATGGTTAAGCACACCATTAGCCCTACATCCTACAAAACAGGCCCAGGTCCTGTCTGGTGCAGCATGACTGGTGTAAGACAGGCAACCTCTGGGCCCCATAGAGGGTAGAGAAATTCATCCTTCCCACAGTGGCAGACTTGCACCTCTGGAGGGTGACCGGGGTGAATGTGACAGTTAGAGGTCCACAAGCAAAAGCCTGAGTGATTTCCAGTGTGTATTATAGTCCCCAGTTCTGCTTGAGAAAGACTCAAGGCACACAGGGAGAGTGAGGCTCTAAGCCACTGGGAGAGACGAAAACATGCATTTCTGTATTCATATAAGACATTTGCCATGGGCTGAAGAGATAGATGACTCAATAGTTTTGCTCCTGGTGGTGGTGGTTGTTTGTTTTTTTGTTTTGCTTTTCTGTATAACAGCCCCAGCTGTCCTGGAACTAGTGTTGTAGACCAGGCTGGCCTCAAACTCAGAGATCCAGCTGCCTCTGCCTCCCGAATGCTGGGGTCAAAGGTGTGCGCCACCACCACCTGTCCAGATGACCCAATAGTTAGGAGCACTTGTTGCTCTTGCAGAAGTCCCGGGTTTGGGTCCCAGCACCCACATGGTGGCTCTCGACCATCCATAACTCTAGTTCCAGGAGATCCAACCTCTTCTAAGTTCTTCAGTCAGCAGGCACACATGGTGCATCCATGTACATGCAGGCAAAACAAACACATGCCTGTAAAACACACACATCCGCTTCTTAAAGGAAAGAGACGTTTGCCACGAGATCTTTGCCTGGTTTTAATTAGTTAATTAAGTGATTAATTAATTTTTTGCCTTGAGACCTCACTTTCACTAGATACTGTTGTTGCCCCCATTTTGCAGAGGTGGGAAGAACTAGGGCTTACGGAGACCGACTCATACGGCTGCCAAGGCTGGGTGTCAGTGCTTGCAGTTTGACTCCCCCACCACACACACACACACACACACACACACACACACACACACACACTGCCAGTCTTTCTAGGACATCCTGCCCCCTTGGACTGGATTGGGAGAATACAGGAAAAACCCCAGCCCAGCCCTCTCCCACAGTGATAGCTACTTCCAACAGGCGAGCAGAGCTGCGTGAAGGCAGAAAGCAAAGTGGGTTCCACATCCTCCGGACAGCTAACAGCTCCATCCACAGGCTCTCCAGGATACCCACTCCCAGGAGGAATCCAGGTGAGCCCGTCCTCTCCCTGGGAAGACAGCAGGCAGGGACTGAAGACAAAGGGCTTTCCCAGGGGTGACTCAGAGGTCTGAGGGGTGGGTGTCTGCCTGTCTGTGTGTCTGTGTATCCCACTCCTAAGACCCGAGTGAAAACCGCACTGAATTAGTATTAGTTGGGGGTCAGTGGTGAGCCGGCACCTGCCAATGCTGGGTAAGAAACTTCCATGGGAACATATAACAGTGATGTTCCTACAAAATGTTTGTTCTTGGGTCAAACTTACTCGGTCTGCTTCTCTTCAGCTCCAGAATCTCCCATATTTCCCCTAGCTCCTGTGGCTTTTAGTTGTGGGGACAGAGACTGCCTTGGGGGAACTCTCCACTTTCTTTTACAACCCTCCCTTCTTTCCCAACAGGCATTAGCTGGTCCTCATGTCGGTCAAACCCAGCCCTGGGCCCAGCCCGACTTTAGCACCTGGCAAAGATTTTGGAGAGGTCCACAACTGGACAGAACTGCTCCACGTTTTCAACCACACCTTCTCTGATTGCCACACGGAACTCAACGAGAATGCCAAACAAGTCGTCCTCTTTGTCCTCTACCTGGCCATCTTTGTGGTAGGGTTAGTGGAGAACGTCCTGGTGATTTGTGTGAACTGGCGCCGCTCGGGCCGGGCGGGGCTGCTGAACTTGTACGTCCTAAACATAGCGATCGCCGACCTGGGCATCGTCCTGTCCCTGCCCGTTTGGATGCTGGAGGTCATGCTGGACTACACCTGGCTCTGGGGCAGCTTCTCCTGCCGTTTCACTCACTACTTCTACCTTGCCAACATGTACAGCAGCGTCTTCTTCCTCACGTGCCTGAGCATTGACCGCTATGTCAGTCTCGACAACCCCTCTCCCTCCTGGCAGCGCCACCAGCACCGGGTGCGGAGGGCTGTGTGCGCCGGGGTCTGGGTCCTCTCGGCCATCATCCCGCTGCCTGAGGTGGTACACATCCAGCTGATGGACGGCTCTGAGCCCATGTGCCTCTTCCTAGCGCCTTTCGAGACGTACAGCACGTGGGCCCTGGCGGTGGCCCTGTCTGCTACCATTCTGGGCTTCCTACTGCCCTTCCCCCTCATTGCAGTCTTCAACATCCTGACAGCCTGCCGGCTTCGGAAGCAAGGACGGCCGGAGAGCCGGCGCCACTGCCTGCTGCTGTGGGCGTACATAGCCGTCTTTGCCGTCTGCTGGCTGCCTTACCATGTGACTATGCTGCTGCTCACCCTGAACGCGACCCACATCTTCCTGCACTGCCACCTGGTCAGCCTGCTCTACTTCTTCTACGAAATCATCGACTGCTTCTCCATGCTGCACTGCGTGGCCAACCCCATCCTCTACAACTTTCTCAGCCCCAGCTTCCGGGGCCGGCTGCTGAGCATCGTGGTCCGTTACCTTCCCAAGGAGCAGGCCAGAGCGGCCGGAGGCGCGGCTCGCTCTTCCTCGTCCACCCAGCACTCCATCGTAATCACTAAAGAGGGCAGCCTGCCCGCTGCAGATGGCCACCCCCACCCCACCCGGAACTCTCAGGCGTCCTCTCCGCCTCCGAACACCATAGCCAGCTGAGGAAGATTCCAGACTCTTCTTCCATCAGTAACGGGAGTCTGGATCTGGGGGAGGGGCAGGGAGGAGGGCTGGGAAGGGTAGTCTGGGGCCTCCCTTGGTGGTGTGCCATTTGTTTGGGTCCCCTTGGCTAAAAGGCCACACAACTGCAGGGGTGCGTGTGTGAAATAAACAGCAGAGACAGTCGTGCTGGGAATCTCTGAGAGCTGTGCTCTTCCAGCTGCGTTTAGGAAGGCAGGGAAGGGAGCGGACCTTCTGCAGAGGGAACTAGATGCCCTTGTTTCATAAATCACCCTGGCCGGAAAGAATCATCCCCGCAGGAACCTTGCAAAACTTTGCTTTCGTGTTTGTGAGCTTGTTGGTCTTCCAGCTAACTCTGCAAGATGTGAGGACAAGAGGTCAGAGGTCAAGGCCCTGGGAGGCTTCTGCAGGATGTTCCCTATCGAGTTTGATAAGTGAAGGGGGGGGTGGATTAGAGCCCGGCAGCTGGGTCCTAGGCAGGCACCCTGTGGCTGGCTCAGCAGGACGGCCCCTCCACCCAGCCATCCAGGAAACGTGGCTCCAGTTCCCTGTGGGGTCCTCCCCCTTCCCCATCCACCCTGCTCCTCCTCCCCAAAGCAGAGGCCTCCTCACTAATGACCTGCCGGCTTGGAACCTAGGGTACCCCACCTCCACCAGTAAGTGACCCCACCACACCCCATCTCCCAGATCACAGCCAGTCTCAGGGGCTTTCACTTTGTCTCTGCCTTTGTCCCCTGTAGGGAGAGGGACGGTCAGGGACTGGCTTCCCCATTTCCAGGACTCTACAGTAAGTTCTCTCTAGCCAAGCCTTTTTATAGTTTCCCTGTCTATTAACACTATAGATAAGATTTCCTCTTGTTAACAAGTGGCCTCTGGCAAAGACTCATTTGGTTACCAGACTTGGGAAATGGCGTGATGGAGAGAGCCAGTATAAGAGCTTCAGACTCCAGCTTCAGCCTTGGGTCTGGCCTCCAGACACCATGTGGAGAGCGAGCGATGGACTTGCAACACCCAATCTGCTCCAGAAATGGGTGCCCCATAGTTTCATCTCTTCACTATCTCTCTGGTTCTGCTCACCAGCAGTGAGTGTACCTGGAATGTGTGCGTGTGTGCGTGCGTGCCTGCGTGCTCTCGGGCTCATTCCCATGTGTGCATGTGCAAAGGTCAACATCAGATGTCTTCATCAATTGCGCCCCCCTGCGCCCTTTTTTACTGACCCTCAAGCTCATCACTGACTGGACTGGCTCCAAGGAACTATCTGTTAAACCATTTTTGCTTTCAGAAACCTCAACCTATACTTAACAAATTCCTCACATGCGCCAATGGCCTATGCACTGTCAAATGTGTAAGGAAAAACCAATATTGACTCTGCTCACTGGTTCTAAAACTAAAAGGGTCTTAGGTTACAGGCAGCTACACAGGAGCAGAGCTAACAGCTTTTTGACCCAGAATTCTTTTTTGGGGGGGAGGGGCTTGAGATAGGGGGTCTGTGTAGTCCTAGAACTCACTCTGTAGAACAAGCTGAACTCGAACTCAAGAGATCCGCCTGCCTCTGCCTCCCAAGTGCTGGAACTACAGGCATGTGCCACCACTGCCTGGCTTGACCTAGAAGTCTGTTGCTACTTAAGGCACAGTAAAAATTTAATCAAATAATGCAGAAAATGCATTAAAAAGGCCTTCTTCACTTGTCCCCATTTACAAATGCACGGTAAGTCCTGATGCCCGGACCCGTGATGTAAGCGCTTGTACACATCTAGTACCTCAGTAACCACAGAAGCCACCGCCCTGAGACAAGGTGTCGCTCAGTGATCTCCTGGGAGCCTTCCCACCCATGGAAGAGATAGATATAGCACAGATATACTGACTACAACAACACTGTCTTGCTTAGCAGACACTTATGAAGCCAATGATTGGCCAGGCCTCAGGCTTCAGGACCAAGTGGACCAATGGCCATGTTCTGAGGGAAAACACTAGTATCTATCTATCTTCCTCTCCCCCATCCATCTGCCTCCCACTCAGACAAGAAGCCTTGCTTCCTGGCTCTGCGCTGGGACCTGTACAGAGATCCAGTGTTTTCTCTCTCCAGGCTGAAAAATCGCTGAGACACTGAGTGCTGGACTTCAAATCCCGCTACAAAACAGTCAACAAGCCAGTCCTGGGGAATTCCAGCTGCAGGAAAACACCATGCGCTGCCTGAAATAATCCTGGCATCTGCTGGGCTGGTGTGAGCTCCTGAGGCCAGGCACAGCCAGATGTCTGAACTCCAGGCCTGAGCAAATGTGCAGGCATGTGGAAAAAAACAAACAAGCATACAAAACAAAACTCCCACTTCAATTTCCTTTTTCTTTTTTATTCTAAATAAAAACCACACTTTGTGCTGAACAATGGGATATAAAAGAATCAGATGTACGATTTTAGACGTCTACTATTTGGGGAAAAAGGTTTACAAAATATACAAAACTTTACAGCAGATAGTAAACACTTAAATATTAGGAGGTCAGTACTTCTTAATTTAATGGAAGGAGTTAGACAGGAGCAGTTCTCTGCTTCAGAAGAGACTTGAGCTACTCCAGGTGGGGGAGGGTGGGACAGACAGAGGGAAGGTGTCGAAACATCATCACAAGTGTCATCTTCGTTCTGACATTGATTATGATGTCTAATCACATTGAAGCGAATGTTGGGCACCACTTTCTCACTCACTCGGTGCAAGGTTTAGGGGAGAGGACATTGGGTACCCCCAAATAGGCAGAGACCAATTCATGGGGCCCCCTCCCATGCCAACAAACTCAGTGTCCATCCATAAAGGGATTTAAATTAACTTTCAAAATTGAGTAGTCTAGGGTCTGGTGGACACAGCACAGCAGGAAGCCAGAGAAGGAAGACGGTCAGTAGCAAAATCCTGCCTGGGTAAATAAAGTACTGAAGCGTACAGGCTTGCCCTGTAGACAAGGGGCTGTGGATATGTCACAATAAAGTAAAATGTAGTTCTTACCTATTTCCTGGTCCTTAGGGTTATCTGACCCCCCCCCCCACGAATTCCACCTCATTTCTTCCTGACTAAGGTGAACTGCAGGGCTCCGCAGAACCTCAAAACTCAGAACCGGGTACTGGGTTCACTAGGCAGAGCTCCCAGCCCGTGTGCGGCACCACTGAGCCATCAGGGGTCACTGGTACGCAAGGACACATCCTGTCCTCTGGCCATAAGCAGTTCATGCCGTGTAGTGTATGCCAACATGCCACGCCAGCATTACAATTTCCCTTAGGAAACAAGCTAGGAATGTCCGAGCTTGGCTTTAGACATCCCTAATGACTGCTGAAAACTGTGTACAGATCAAAAAGGGGGAGTCGGGGAACAGGCCAAGATGGAACATTCAAGGGTCAAAGAGACAGCAGGGGCTAGGGCTAAACAGGAATCCAAAAGGGAGGAGAAAGCGGAATCAGATAGTTAAGTTAAAAACTAAAAATGCAAAATAAGAGTTATCACCTTCCACCTGGTAGCCTTAAGTACACGTCACTACCATGTAATGTTTCAAGTAAATCAATTCAAGAGAAGGATGAAGATGAACTAGCTCCGGAGAAAGCAAACACAACTTCCCACAGAAAGGGAGACAGGTCAGAGTGTGGGGCTACCCACCGAAGCGTGGTCTGGACCATGAGCCTCTGCTCCACGTGCTACATGTCTGACTGGGACCGATGGACCTCCCTGATCAACTAGCCTCGAAGGATCAGAGGGTACGGTTTTTAGTGTTCAAAGGGCAAAACTTCAAACTTTTTGGTTTATGGCAAAAAGGGAAAACTTCACAGTTTCAGGTTAAGTAGACAGACCGCCCAGCATCTACGATGCCATACACTAGAAAAAGGGTTTCTCAACACACTCTCAGCAGCCTGGCTGAGGGCTGGTAAATGCCGCCCCTTCCAGATCAGCCGTCCATACTCAGTCCTCACCAGCAGTCTTGGAAAGCGCAGCAGATACATAATTGTAGCTTGCTACACATCACAGCAATGGTTTCCTGACAAAACTGTCACAAGTTTAGATAGTGAAAGGCAGCCTTTGACTGGCCGCTGTCTCATCCTTATCATTGGAGCCCACTAGGATGCCCTGAGCATTAACGCACAGGCTTTCTCAGTTCAAGGCTAGGGAAAGAGGCAGCTGGCCCAACAAGGATACAGCTTTGGTTTGCCTCTGTGTCTTAACATATATGGACAGGAGGCTCCCTAAGATGGAAGGATAAAAAACCGTGCAGAAACCTTCTTCATGTGACTTGATCTAGATTTTTTCTGCTAGAAAAAACACCTGGAAAAACGAAAATGTGCTCTTTAAAATGCCTGGGACATTCTCTCATAGTTTACACTCTATGTTCCAAATCCACAGCACATCCATCTGGTGGAATATAGTTCCTTGCTTGAGAGAAACTAGTTTTCCTAAAGTCACTTACTGAGAAGAGATACTGGGTAATATGTATACAAAACAAAACAACAACAAATAAATACTAATGTCTAAAAAGGCTTTGTGAGTTAATAAAAACACTTGCTTATGGACAGCCCAGGGTGCTGCTGAGTCCCACCAGGGGGCAGCGTCAGTGGCTGGGCCCAAAATTAGGGACTCTCAGAGCTCACCTGAGCAGGGTGAGGTAGTAGGAGCTACTGAAGTGCCATCTTCTAAGTATGCAAGATCAAGGGTCCTCTCCTCCAGCCGATGTTGGACAAGGCCCCTTCAAAGACTAAGAAAAGGAGCCCAACAGCCACATTTGGAAGGCCTAAGCCAGCTACCACCCAAGAGCGCCACCTGGAGGCGATGCAGTCCCAGCTCCCAGACTGTTTCCACCAAGTAAACAAGGACCAGAGTGGGACAGTCAGAGAGCACACACAGAGCTAAGTATCATCAGTCACTCGCACTCCTTTCGTCTCAGTGGGCTCAAAACCCACCACCTAGCAGGGTCTTCTCATCCATGCTGTGGGTCGAACCATCCTGAGTGGGAGACTCGATGTGAATTAAGGCAAGATTGCTGCTGTCTGAGGGGGTCTCTTCCTGCCCAGGAGACCACACAAGGTTAAGGAGGTGGCCAGGTGTCAGATGACTGTCTGTCCTCTCTGCTCATGACAGAAGGCTTGACATCCAGGGAAATACTCTTTAAAAAAAAAAAAAAAAAATATGTTTCTTTGGAAATGAGGAGAAAGAGGAGTCTCTTCTTCCATCCATCCAGGCTCCCCATCGGGCCACACCATGGGACATCCAAAGCTTTCCAACCTAGACAGAAAGACTGGCCCTCAGTTTGGATCTAGCTGCCAAGAGATTTTCACTGTCCAATCAGGAGATCCGAGCTGCCCTCGTCTCCTGACACCTTGTCCCTGCTAAGGAGGGCGTGGGACCCCCCAGATGACCTGCCCTGCTGCCAATCCCTTCTGCACAACCACATTCCCCAAGCCTTCTCATAGCTGTTGTCCCGCCAGAGGTCGGACGGTCGCGCCCACAGTAAAAACCTCTCTCCGCCTCTACTATCCAGCCAGGCTCTTGGTCGGATTCTTAGCAGCATAAAAACTATCAGTAAACTAAAACTAGAGAAACCACCCACGGGGACCTGGTTGACAGGGCTACTTGACTAGATCCTAAAAAACCAGCCTCAGAATGAAGAATGCAAGTAGGCATGGAGGTGAATGTAACAGGGCCGTTGCCTCTCAAAAACAGTAACAGCTTTATGTGCTATTTCTTCTCTCAACACAACACAGAACAGAACTCCTAGCAAGGCAAGACTGTAGCATCAGCTGGGGAAGGACCAGCGGCCTTTAGAAAAATCACCATCCCGGCTGCACCTGGGAGCTCCCGTCAGCTGTCCGGGTTCTTTTCGGTCTCTTTGGAATGGATAATGTACATGAAGGTCTGCTCGATGGTGAAGTCGGGGGGAAGGCTGCCTTTGTGCACACCGACATGTTTGCTCATGAGGTTCAGGGTGGAGCTGTAGTGGCCACAGACCGTACAGCGGTACATGAGTGCCCCCGAGTGCGTCTTGAGGTGGCACTTGATGGTTGAGCGACCTCGGAAGAACTTGTGGCATACCTTACACTGGTAAGGCTTCTCACCGGTGTGGATCCGCCGGTGGTAGTTGAACTCACTTGTGTGGGCAAACCTTTTGCCACAGACCTTGCAGCTATACTTGCTGTTCCCAGGTTGGCCCTGCAAAGCCAGCTCCTCACTCAGGAACTCCTCCGCCGGCAGCTTCCGCTTCTGGAGGGCTAGCTGTTGGAGCCCCAGGCCGGGCCGTGAATCCAGGCCACTGCTGCATTTGTGCTGGCTCACGTGGTAGCGGTAGGCAGCCTCAGACCTGAAGCTCTGGCTGCATAAGTGGCAGCGGAACAGGGTGTCCTCCAGGCTCTGGTGCACGGCCAGGTGCCTCTCTAGAAGGTAACAGTCCACAAAGCTACTGGCACAGACTGAGCAGGAGAAGACGGAGATGCCCAGATGAGAGAGCGTGTGCCACATGAGGCTGCACAGGTTGAGGTGGCGCTGGTCACAGATGCTGCAGGCCTGGCCCTTCAAGTTCAGATGGTCAAGGATGTGGCCTCGGACCACATGGAAATCTTTGGCCAATGCTTTCCCACAAACAGCACACTTCAACTCAGGGGAGGCTGCCCCTGAGAAGAGACCCAGTTTCCCAGAGAGTGGCTCGTGAGGGTGGACAATGATGTTGTTCTCAAATATCCCATCCCGTCGATGCAGGGCGAGCTGCCACTGGGTAAAGAACTTTGTCTCACACATGTCACAGGAAAACAGGAAGATACCAATGTGGGACAGGACATGGGTCACCCGCGAGTTTCGGTCCTGGAAGTGCGTCTCACAGACCTTGCAGTTGCCTGTGAGCAGGTCCACGTGGTCCCGAGCGTGCTGCCGTATCAGCTGAATGTTGGGCTCTAAGACTTTCTTGCATACCTGGCAGGGCATGGCCTTATTCTCCCGGTTGTCGCTCTCAGCAAACGCCAGTTCGTCCTCGCTGTCGTCGCTCAGCTCGATCACCTCCTCAGCTGTCCCAATCTCTTCAGCTGGGTCCTCGAACTGCAAATCATCGTCCCCCAGGTCCTCCAGCTGGAGCTCATCCACCTGCCCAAAGCCCGGATCTTTGGAGTGTTCACTATTGCTCAAACAGGAATTGGTCCCGGTTGTAATGTCCATGGCGCCGTCGGGGGTGAAGAAGTTGTTCTTACTGAAGTCTCCATTGCTTTGAACTTTGTGTGGCTGGCAAGAACTCGTGCCCGTCTGGATGCCTGCGCCGACACTGCCCAGGACTGGCTGGGTCACCATACTAGGAACAGACGTGAATGGAACAGGGGCGTCGTGGCCTTCTGTCTTTGGTGGCAGGGGCAGTTGTGGCAGGGGTAAGCTGTGGTTAGTGTCACTGGTAACGCTCCTCTCTTCCTCTTTATAGTTCCCGCCAGCATCAGTAGGCAACACATAGTTTCTCTCCGGGCCGAAATGTTCCCCGCTCCCCCGGAGCTCCCCAAGGGAGTGAGTGGGATCCACCGAAGGGCACCTCAGGGTACCAGACTGGCTATCACTGGACAAGGACTTAGCTACTGCGGTGCTCTCTAGATCGGGAAATGTAGAGTGGCAAGCCCGAAGTAGGTCCTCCATACCCAGGCGCTCGGCGACCTCATAGATGACCCCCACGTTGATCAGGTCTGTGAAAAGCTCTGAGGTGTAGACGAAGCTCAGAATCTTCTCAAAGTTGGCAGGCGTGATGAAGTCCACCACGTAGGTGCGGGCGGCATCAAGCCCGGTATTCAAGAAGAGGTTCTGAAAGTAGCCGGCTGCGCAGGCCAGCACGGCCTTGTGTGCAGGAAAGGAGCGGCTGCCCACCACGATAGTGACATCACACATGGTTTCTGACAGCCGGCACTTGTTGAGTTCCTTCAGCAGGTTGTTGGGGTGGTTGGTGCTTTGCAGTTTGATTCTCATACCCATTTTAGCAGCTCCTAGGAAGTTGCCTCTATCAGCAAGGTCAATCTGTGGACAAGACAAAAAAAAAAAAAAAAAAAAAAAAAAAAGATAGCCAAACATCCCTAAGAGGAGGCTCTGAGCAGGGGTGACTGGACAAGGAGAACTCAAGGCAAAGATAACAAGTGGCAGAGAATGATCCACTCCCGGCATCTATAACCAACTAGAGAATCATCACAACAAAACCCCACACTGATGAGAAAAAAAGAAAAATCAATTATCTTGGTCTTGAAAATCTAAGAAGCATGGATTGCGGGCAGCTCAACAATTAAGAGCGTCTCCTGTTCACGCACAGGACCCAGGTGCATGGCCAGCATCCACATGTCCAAAACTCTAGTTCTAGGAGATCTGACACCTTCTTCCGGTCTCCTCAGGCAACGGAACCACAAGGCACAATGTGAGGAAAATGGACAGGGAAAATCGTGGCTGGAAGGAGGTTAGGAAAGTGAGCATAGGTCGGTTACCCGACTACTAGAGATTACAATGAATCAGAGTATGTATGTGTGGCCTATGCTCACTTCCCAATCTCCTTCCAGCCAGGCTTCTACCTGTACACACATTTACATACATGTAGACAAAAATTCATACACACAAAACAAAAATAATACTTTTAGAAACCTAAGAGGCCAGGTGTGATAGCATGTATCTATAATCTTAGCAGCTGGTAAGCTAGAGCAGGAATATCAGGAGTTCTAGGACCGCCTGGGCTATGAAGCCAGACTGTACATTCTACAAAAAGGGGTGTTGTGGGAAGTAGGCATCAAGCTAGACGCCTTCCAACTGAGGGGAAGAGCTCCTGAACAAGCCTCTCCCCTGTCTTTATTAACTTCCTACATAAAGGTTCTTTTGTCACTAAAAGTCTATCATCTTCCCTCACAATGGCAAATGGCACAAATATACTTGAACACCAATATCAAAGCTACATTAGCTACTGAGAAAGAGGTCAGAGTTGCACTTTGCCTATCACTGCTGTCCTTTCAAGCCTCCAAATAAACCCCACACTCTTTATCCTTTCCCTCATTTATTGATTGATTGATTGATTGAAGCGGGGTCTCACGTAGCCCAGGCTGACTGTGAAATTGCTCTGTTCCTACAGGATGGCCCTGAACTCATGACCCTCCTGCCCCTCCACCTCCCAAATGCTGGAATATAGGTGTGAGCCACCAGACCCAGTTTGAATCCCCTCCTCGCCCTTCCTAGGCAATGTGCCTACCCTCTCTCTGTCCCTTCCCGGAGCCGTTCCGGACGCTGCTTTCTCAAGGCTACTGCATTCTGCAGATGAAGCTAAACAAACACATCATCAGAGGAGAAAGCAAGCGAACGCAACTGTGGTATTTAGCATTACTCAGGGACGCTGCACTTCTCCTTACCAACCTTACTTACACTAACAACTGGACGCCTTAGGAAAGACATCCATGGCACAGGAAAGCGCCCTTCAAGCCCTTTTAATACTTTCCCCGCTGTGGGCTCCCAGGCACCTCGGAAGAACAGCCAGCTAGTCGCATGCTTGTGCGTCTCACAACTCGCCCGTTTCTCCACCGCACCAGCAATCCCCAACTTTTCCCGGGGCCCGGCACTCGTCCGAGTATCCCTGGGCACCAAGCCCCGCGTCCCCGGGCCCTGGCGGCCACTCATCCACGGTGTGAGGGTCCGGCTCCCCGGTCAGACTTGCAACTTGCAAGGAGTGCGTCCCAATGGTCTGGCGGCGCCGCGGTCCCCTCCTCTCCGCCAAGGCAGGGGCCGGACTGGGCTGGGGCGCACGGCGCGGGGAGGGGACCCCTCGGCCGCCCCACACAGCGCGCGCTGCCCCGGGGCGATCCAGGCCGGGCGCCGCGGGATCCGGCCGAGGCGAGGCCCGAGAGCCGCGGCCCGGCCGCCGGGAGGGAGAGAGAGCCGGCTGGGGACACCGGCCGGGCGCGCCCAGCCAGGGCGACGGAAAAGGCCGAGCGAGCGAGCGAGCGAGCGGGAGTCCGGCTCGGCCAGGAGCAGCGCTTACCCGGCTCCACGGGGCCCGAGCACCATCGCCGCCGCCGCCTCACACAAAGGCCCCGGCCCGCCGTGCCCGGCCCGACGAGGAGGCGGCGCCGCCGGCCGCGGCCAGACTCTCCATCCGCCGAGCCGCTCGCCGCGCCGGCCCGGGCCGCCCCCGCCGCCCGGCCCGCAGCGCCCCCCGCCGTCCCGGAGGAGGCAGCGCCCCCCGCCGCACGGCCCGCAGCGCCCCCCGCCGTCCCGGAGGAGCCAGCGCCCCCCGACGGCCGGGCGGAGCCAGGAGCTCGCTCTGAGCCCCCCCCCCGCCCCGCCCGGGGAGTGGAGCAACCCGGAGCAAGCCGGTCTTCCACCGGCTTGGTTGATGAATGCCTGCCCCTGTGAGCCTCCTGAAGGCAGGGATCTGCGGTTTTGCAAGAGCCCCTGTTTCTCGTTTTGTTTGTCACCACGCTTCCTAGGGGTTTCCTAAAGCCTGGGTGCGGGTGCGTGGGTGGACGGGGGTGAACGGATGAACGAACCGAGCATCTCAGGTTAGGACCCTGGGAAGCTCTTATCGTCCAAAGCTGACCCTCCTTCCCCCTAGATGGTCAGACGGAGTCACGGATTCCCTGCGCTTTGGGTGGGCTGAACTGGGTGGGCTCCCTGACCAGACCCCTTCGCCGGCCTTCACCCTCTCTTCAAATGTCCCGCTCAGGACTAGCCATAAAAACACAGCTACCTCCCCTGCCTTCGTCCCGCCTGGAGAGAGTGGGCGTCCAGGCACAGCCGCGGGACAGGCACCATTTCCATCATCTGCCCGTTGGTGGACATCTAGGTTGATTCTGTTCCCTCGGTGTTGTGGATAGAGCAGCGATTACACGAGTGTGAAGCTATCTCTGTGGTAGGATACCAAATCCTTTGACCCAGAAGTGGTATGTCTGGGTTGTATGGTAAGTCTCTTTTTAGCTTTTTAAGAAACACTGTGATTTCCATAGTGGCCACGCCAGCTTACACTCCCATCCCACAGTGAATGGGGGTATGCAAAGGTATGTCTTCTTGCTGTGGGTAAAGAGGCATTCGACTCTGGCTGCTCATTTGAGGGTGGAGCAGTGTCTGCTGGTGGCTGTCTTCATCTACGAGGTATAGAGTGGCAAGCTTCCTGATGAATGAGTCTGGACTAGAGTGCAAGGGAATCACCAGAGTGGCCCACAGACTGGACTATGCACTACAACCTCGGAAAGTAGCACTTAGGGAAAGGGGGTTGGAACGGGAGCAGCCCTGGCATCAGTTGGGTAGTCCTTGTCCTGGGCAATAAGCCATGCAACTGAGCCTCCGCTGTGCACCCAGAACCTTGCCTGCATAAGGGAGGAATTACTGTTAGGGGTTGGCGCTGGAAGAGTACCTCAGCAGATTGGGGCCGAAGAATGGCGCAGAAATCACAGAACAGCTCCCATTGGAGAGATTTGCGCAGAGATTTATTCTTGCAAGGATGGGGAGTGAAGATCACCTCTGACGAGGACAAGAGAGACAGCGCTACAGAGAACCGACCGTGATGGGGATCCTGAGGGCGCGCACGTCCCATCTGGTACCTGGTGATGACATGGCTGCTGGCGTTGAGTCACTGTTACTACGTATGAGTAAAAGGCCTCAGTGGCCCTGTACATGAAGCTACGATAATCGGAACGTATTCTCTTGAATTGCTGGTATTGGGACTTTTCCTCTCTGGGCCAGATGAGTTCAGGGTCTAGTTTGACTTTACAGCAGCACTAACTGTCTCTCTGATGTAGCCATGTCTGGTGGAGTCCTGGCAGGCTTCACTCAGCTCATACTGCTTGGTGAGGTGGGGTGTGTCAGCTGGGTGCTCTGCAGAGAAAATCCTGGGCTCTTTCTCTTATTTCGTATCCGGTGCCTTTTTATTTTGACTTTCTTCCACCCAAACTCCTGGTCTCACAGACAGCATCATGACCTCATCACTCCATTTTCTCAAATTGCCTTCCAAAACTCATGCCTACATTTTATTGTCCCCGTCATCCTTGGTCTCAGAAACTGCTTTTTTGCAGCGGGCAGTGGCTAACTGTAGAGACACAGAACTGATAACTGCTGAGGATAAGTGGTTATTGGATGCTCAGTCTCACCTGAGATGTCGACATCTCCAGGGCTCTGGGGAACTGTGAGACCAAAACAGAACAACACATTTAGAAAGTTAATGGGAGACCAAAACAAGAAAAATATTCCTTGTAGGTTAAGGCTTCTGTTTGCCATTGAGACAGATAAAGTTCCTGTTTGTCCCAAGCTAAGTCCTCGAAAGTTAAGATTTCCAATTGTAATTAAGAAGGTCCTGTCTGGGGTGGGAGAGATGGCTCAGTAGTTAAGAACACTAGCTGGTCTTCCAGAGGTCCTGAGTTCAATTCTCAGTGCCCACATGATGGCTCACAACCATCTGTAATAGGATCTGGTGCCCTCTTCTGGCCTGAAGGGATAAATGCAGACAGAACATACATAATAAATAAATCTTTAAAAAAAAAAAAAAAAAAAAAAAGGAAGAAGGTCCTGTTTGTCCTGGGTTAAATCCTTGCAAAATTAGGTTTCTATTTTTCATTAAGAAGCTCCTGTTTCTAGGGCTGATGTAAACTGCTTGCAACTCCATTTTTTTCCCTTCTCAGGGTATCCCTCTAACAATGTGTAACTGCCGACCTTGTGAACGCCTTATTCTGAAGAGGGACTTCAGGAAGCCCGTGGGGCTGCTGCCTCGCATCCTGACTTAGGATGAGGCAGCTGGCACCAGGTACACCCCAAAATACCGCTTGCTTTACTTGGATAGCCATGGGCTTGTTTTGCTGTTGCTATTTGTTTTCTGTTTGTTTTTTTGGTTTTTTTTCTCCTCACAAATCCCAGGTTTAACAGAATAGCACAGAAGAAGGGGGAGAGAGAATACAAGGATTGGAGCGGGGAGGTTGTGTTTCACCATCCCCAGCGAATTTTTTAAGTAGCTGTGACTGGCGAGACTGGGTCCATTAGTGGCTGTCACAGGTGGAGGGCTCATGAGCCCCACCCCTTTCCAGGATATGCAGGCAGTGTCGTTGTTAGGATGCGTATTGCTGCGATAAAGCAGCGTGTAGGGTGGGTGTTAAGAACCAGGTCCCCTACCCCACCCACCCCACCCACCCCACCGAACCCCTCCTTCAGCAACTCAGCACCAGCAGCACGCGTGCCCTTTAAAAACTGCTCGCCGCCATCGCTGGCCTGCTCTGTGATCTGTTGCACGGTGTGATTTCCAAGGCATTCCTTGGCCCGGAAACACCAGGGTACTGCTCTCTAAACTCTAACATGGGAAAGGGTTTATTTGGCTCATAGTTTTTAGTTTATCGTGAAGGGAAGCCAACGCAAGAACCCAGAAGCGGAAACGGAAGCAGAGGCCGTGGAGAAACTCTGCTCAGAGGCTTGTTTCTCCTACCCCATGACCTCCAGGCCTAGGCGTCTTAGCCCAGGCAAACCTGGCCACTCTCACTCAGAAGTACGCACCCTGGGTCTTTAAAGGAAAGGCTCCACCCACTTCTGCTCTCTTCCCACCCCACCCCTTTCCCCTGAAGGGGCAGAGGACTTTTCCTGTGTCTCCCCCTTCTCTTTTGTCCTCTGTTTGTCTCTCGTTACCTCTTTTCTCTTTCCTTCCCTTATTTTCTTACTTTCCCCCTCAATAAAACTTCCAGTGTGAGCTCTGTTCCCATATGCCTGCCGTCCATCACCCACTGCACCGCTGGACAGGAACGGGGACAGGGACCACACACCTGCCGCACACGGGGGCCGAGTACCGAGCCTGCGGAGGGTGTCCGTACTGAAACACTTGCCAAAAGCTGCCGCCTTTTATTACAGAGAGTGATGGGCTAATGTACCCAAGCCAGGGGACGGGCTAAGCGTAGGAGGAATCATGCACCACCCACACCTGGGGTCAAAGCACCGGCACTGCACACCAGAAGTTTCTGAGAACAACCTAGTTTGCTCAACCTTGCGAGCACGGGAGTTCTCCAGCTGGGTGGGGAGGAAGAGCGCTGTAAGGGACAAGCACTCAAGTTTCCCAACACCAACCCATTATGCTTTTTTCCTAACACTGGGCACATAGATCTTCAATTAAAAAATATTCCCACAGGCTGCCCCCTAGCCTGGTCTCTTGGAGGCGTTTTTCTCAATTGAGCATCTCTTCTCTCAGGTGACCCTAGCTTGTGACAACAAACTGACAAGAAACTAGTGGGCATGGGCAGTTACTGGTTGCTGGCGTGGAGGACATCCACTTTCCTGAGGGTTCGTGAGCAGTTGAGAGCTGAGCCATTTCCTTGCTTGTAGTGAGACATTCACCTTGTCCGCACCTGTGGCATAGACCACGCCCATTGGGGGTGGAGACAGGGCCGGTCGTGACGGGGGTGGGGGTGGGGGGGGGTGGGGGGTGGGGGTGGGGGGAAGGAACTAAGGCTGAGGAGGGGGCTCGGAGAGCTGTCTTGCTTGCTGTGAGGGGACAGGAGCACTTCCGGAGGCATCCTTGGGACCAGGAACCTGCTGGTGTTCATCTGTCTATGTTGTGAGTTATTTCTCCCCGAATAAACATCTATTCGGCCTATTTGTTTCTCCTGATCCTTATTAAACATCAATACTTGTTAGTTTCCCATTTGCCTATAAAGAATCCCTCTCACTCCGGCTCCTAGTTAATTTACAAATTTAGCTTTCACCCCGGGACAAATGGATGAGCTGCCAACTTAACATACCAACGAAGGCACTGGATTCCACTTTGGATGCCTGGTCCTCCCAGCATCCCTCAGCCCCTACCTGTCTCAGAGCTCTCCTGGCTGGCATACCCCCCCACCCTGAACTTTCCAGACCAGGGGCCTTCCCTATATAATCCAGCCATTTTGGTTACCCACTCTCTGTACCTCCCGGCTGCGACACTGTGTTCTGCTCTCCTCTCAATGTCCCCCTCCCCCTCCCCCTTACATGGCCCAGCTCAGTCTGGTCATGTCCACTCTGGACTCTCCCAGATGTCCCCACCTCGGGCTATGTCTCCCTTTTTATCTACAATAACCCTCCTCCTCCACCATACCTGGGAGCAGTTATGTTTCCTTTTATTTATTTATTTATTTCCCCCATTCACTAACCAAGCCAGACTTGGGTGGAGTTATTTCTTTGGTCTGCCGTT